AAAACCTTGTCGAAACCTTGTACTTTTGCTGTTATGTTAAACTTATATTAAAGTTTTTCTTCATTACCCATTCAAGCCGTCTTCAGCCATTATTAGTCTCAAAGTGGGCTCCTCGTCACCGAAATATACAAAAATTATTTAATTAATCAGATAAATAAGAATATAATTTTTGAATACGAAATTTTTGATGTTTCAAAGTTTTTTATGCAGAAATTCATAAGTACTTGAGATTTTATATGCACATTGAATCTTTGCTTAATCCCACAATGGACATTTATCAACGAAAATGGCACACATATCAGCAATGGTATACTGAGAGGAAGTGAAACTCACTTCAATCATAAGTGCCAACCATAACTCGTTTTTTGACCTGGCTCTTTGGCTAGGGTTTTGTATCTTCCACAATCACCCTTTATAAGGCAGACTTATCAAGGACTGTTTGATATTCTAGACAAAAATTCTTTGAGTCCCCAGTACTCTCTGGCTTCCATTGACTTAAACTCTCATTCCAGTTCCCTAATAGGTATATTAAGGTATTAAGGTTGCATTACATGCCCTTTCTCAACACTCGTTGTGACCTCCCAGCAAACACATTTATGTAATATATACGTATTAATAACGTAGTGGTTGGTAGTGATTATGTAGCTAATTTATGTAACTGTTAAGTAAAAATGTGGACTACCAGAGACGTTGTTACTATATAGTAATATTGTATAATGGATCTACCAATATACAACTAACTTGGTATGTTAAAATACCAACATGGTGCACTCCTATTACCATTCTACTACATTGTAACTACCTTTCTGGCAACTTGATACTACCCTCCATTGGTTTCTACCTCTTCTTAGTGCCTTGTTTATACCTTTCAGCTCCACCCAGAATACTTTCAATATATTCATTTGCCAAAATAAGTGAAAGGTAATATCATTTATTAAATATCATTTGCACAACATTACAAATTACAAAAAACCAATTTACATTTTTTTTTGATACCACATTACAAAAACAAATTATACATTTTTTGATACCACATTACAAAAACAAATTATACATTTTATGATACCACATTATAAAAACAAATTTTACATTTTTTCTTCTGTATAATTCTAATATTGTCTCTATTCATCTGAACTGTATTGCTGTGGGTGTCCTGGGAGATTTCAAAGCAGTTCGTGCTTATAAATATAAAAGACCAATTCAATTTGACAGACCATTACAGGTATCAATAAAATCACAAATCAAAAGGTCTGAGATTTGTACTTTCATCTTTCTGCCAAGGACTATAATATTATTATATGCCAAAACAATGTTGATTAGATTAATCATTATATACACCTGTTATACAAATAAAGTTGCGCCTAAGTTTATGCCAAAAATGAATATTTTGTTTCATGCAATATGAAGCTTAGGCAAAATTGGTACATGGCTTAGCAGTGATGTCATTGTGTTCTCTATGTTACTATTGTCTTGAATGCATTTCAAATTTGGCTATATTATATTCTGTGTATTTTAATTGCTATATTTTATTGTGTATATTAGTTAACAGTTTTGACCAAAAGGAATGCATCTCTTTATTTGTCAATATATTTAACAGGTATCCACCACATTTGTTCGGTGCATTTGTAAGAGTTTCTGCCATTTGCAACTCAACCTCAGCATCCTGGCATTTGGGATGAATTTGTCTACACACCTTTATTGAATCATTAGAAAGTTTATTTTTGTAATTTACAATAACATTTTCAAATTTATCAAAGCTAGGATTTTACCTCTATAACAATGGAAAATTCATAAATTTAAGAAAATAACAGGACTTGTAAATGTGGTAATGAGGTCAAGTATGAGGTATTAAAGTACTTCACCTGATACAAACTTTGTATGTCATTTATATCTTTAAATAGTCTTGTTCGTTGATACCTAACTGACCCTTTCTGAATACTATTGTTTTCATTGCACAGTCAGTCTACTGATTGGGCTTATTTTCACAAAGCTCTGTAAAATGGATTTTTTTTTGTTAAATAATTACACGGATAGTTTTTACCATGTTTACAGTACCAAAATAATAATCGGTTAAAACTGAAAATATCCAAATATACATACTGATAATTATTCTGTAAAATGGCAGGTCTTGGAATCTTTGCTTGTTCTTCCTGCCCTTCATGTTGAAGCCGAACCACAGGCGGAAAGTCCCCAACTTCTTAAACATTCTTCATACTGAATCCCCAACATTGTTCCCTCCAAAGACACTCATGACAGCAACCTGAAAAATTATGTTACATCATTTGATCAGATGGTTGCTTGATTATATCTACAAATTGGCATGTATTTGATATATCTAAACTATTTATATGCATGATAATAAGTATCAATGAAAAAATAGCTATTCATTATAGGAATTAATAGTTTTTTTCTCTGGCCTGGGTTTTCTGATAGCTTGGTACAGATTTGGTCCAGGTCTTCCCATGTATCCATTGGTTCCTCCAACATGTCCTCCAATACTTTATGTACCTTTTATGCCTTGGCTTGTGAAACCACTCTCTCTTTATCCGGCAACTTATTGGAGAATTTCTGTGTGCTTTTTTTTTTTATGGTTGGCAATGATTTCATCCAGCCTCATTAGGACTTGCCACTGGTAATCTAAAGGAAAAATGCAGAACAAGGAACAGTAACTGCCTAATTAACATAATATTGTGTGTATATGAAAGCAGTGCAGCCTTTAACTGGTGATTTGGTCACCCCAAGCCACCAAAAATTGAGCTGGGCTACTAAACCTGATAACTTGGTGCCACAACTTTTAATTGCATTATACGGAAGTTTATTTTATTGAGCTGACAATCTGAATGTTGGGCAACTATGTATGAGTATTGAAACCTTAAAAATATTAGTGTAAAGCAATAATCATTTTATATTGATGTGTGCTGATTTATTTTTATAAAGCTTTGAGAATTTTTCTTTAATTGGTTCAATAAGGGTTTGTTTGGTTAAAAGGTCTAGTAGTAAAAGGTCTTTAGTATTTTACTCACTGTCCGTTCATTATCCCCCATTGTTGTGGTTATAAGCTGTGTCATAAATTATGCTTCTGAAAAAAAAAAACAATCACATGAAAGATCAACACCATATTATTAGTATTGATAGATATTAATGTTGTTTATTGTGGAAACCCACTTATCCAAGTAATAGTAGGCCTATTTATAATATATGTAATGTAAGGCTTAACTGAAACACTACTTGGTAAATTTTATTTTGCTGTTGACTACAATTCAATGTTATAAAATTTCTGAATTAAACTATTTTGCTGTTATATCACAGAAGTTATCAAAAAATAAGGAATAAAAAACCAAACCTTTCTAATAAATCAACATGAATATTGAGCATTGAACATGAACACCATCACTAACTATAATAGGCTTATTCCCTCTGACTCTGTTTAGAATGCTTTCACGATCCTTGTTTTTTAGTTAGTGATTTTTTAAACTTTCCATAAGCTCTATATGGATGTTAGTAAGCAAATTTTCTCATTACGTACCTTTCGATGATGAAGTATTTTGGAGATTTAAAGCTGCTGATTCAAGAATGCTGGACAGTTGAGATCTACTTATTCAAACTCAGTGTAACAAAGCTATATGTGTCATTCGTGAAGTTTTGCACTTATTCAACTTACAAAAAAATATATCAAATTACATCAAATATAAGCAAATAAATTAGAATTAATTTTCCTTTGATATTTTTAAATGGAAATAATATTTTACGTGATATACAATATTTTTATTTGAATGTGACATTAAATATATGAAGCTATTTAAACACCAAAAAGAAATACTACATGTAGAATACGTAATAGCCGATGAGTTACACTGCTAGGTGATTTACTCTTCTTCTTTTCGTGTGCAATATAATATTTTCATGTTACTGCTACTTAATAGCACTATATCTTTTAAAGTTACATTCTTACTACGTAGTGGCACAACGTTAGGAAGTTATGTTATTACTACATACTGTTTGGACATTAACAAACCACTACCATGCCACTACGTAGTACTATGTAGTAAATACGTGTGTTTGCAAGGTTTATTTTTTCATTGCTGCTAGCCTACAGGCATTGCCAGTCGGAGTGGTTTACACTGATTTTCCACATTGCTTTATCATTCTACCTATGTCCTCAGACCAGTTCTTCTTCCCTAAGACACAGACAGGGAAGTAGATAAATCCTTTTCACCGATTCCTCTGATCACTATTTCTCACTTTTATGACCAATCAGATTTCGATCGTTTGTTATGTCCAGTGAGGGTTTGGAAGGTTTTGTTCAACCAACTAATGCTAGAGATGCTAGACAATGACTTTTTATTCATTGAGATCATTCAGTTTCCCAGGATTTATCCCCGGGTTACATAGATAAGGTAGGTACAAATTTCATCCATAATACCTATTCTGAGCTCTCTTTGATTGTGAATAGTCTTCTGTGAGTCATGTCTAATCAGATTCATCACATTTCTATGTCCTTAGAGGTCCAGCTGAATTTCCCACTGGAGGATGATATGTGGACCTTCCCCAATACTTTTATCTCACATTATTTGCAGGATCTGACAGTATCTTCATTTGAAGGTTTTCGACTACCCCTCTAGCTATCTTAACCATTTCCACTGGATTATACAGAGGGGGGGTGTATTTTCATTGCTACACATATCTCTGCTTTACCTTTCAGGGTCCCTTACCTCATTTTCACAGGATCCCACTCTTTTGCAAGTGTTGTTCAGGCAGGTGTACTGTTATCAAACCAATTCCACACTAGCAATCACTAACTCAATATACTTTATCTAGGTTCAACAGGCTCTGTAGAAATGAGGTGTTCCACAAGACCACCGAGAGGTTGACTGGATGTTATTACTGTACTATCCTGGACCGCCACTCATGGACTATAATGAGTAAAGCATAAGGGGATCCTTCCCATCCCTGTCAATGTTGGATTGAATAAATTTTGGATTTATTGATACAGTAGTGTGTAATTGTGTTGGTAACTTTGAATGTAAAGTATACCATAAGAAAAAGTTTACTGGCCTTTATTTTAATTTTATAAGTTATATATCATCTGTGTTTAAAGAAAACCTGGTGAAGATTTTATTTCATTGTGCTTATAAAATCTGAGGTACTGAATTTTTGCATGAATAACTTTGGAACATCAGAAATTTTCTATTCAATAATGACTTTTCTATTTATCTTATTGATCAAATAATTCATGATTATTTGAATAAACAGGACTCTAGAACTAGCAGTTTTAGAAGTTCCTAAGTATCCTACATATGCACCCTACTTTATAAAATATATCTGAAAAACCAATGCAGCTGATATCCAGTTTTAAAAACATATTGCAGATGGTGGGGAAACAGGGATCATATTTTTTTATAGAAAACATCAGTTGTAGTCCATCAGTTTACTTTTCCTACTTACAAACAAGATTACATTGGTTCTGTGATAATAAAGCTACAGACACAAATGACAGAACATGCAAATTTAATAATGTTAAATAAATCAAGTGTCTTGGAGCATGCCCTAGGTGAGTGTGATGTTATTGTCCAAATTATTTTAAGATCTTAGTAAAGACCAGTGATGAACAAAGTCTACTGATTTATAAGTTGAGGCCAAAACTCAATCATGTTAGCTCATTTTATAAATTGTTGCTTTTCTTATAATTTCAAAGAAAATGGTCATCAACTATATTATCTTTGCAATGGCCTTTAACCTTTCTTAAAGTATATTTGATTGGTATACTTATTTTCTAATTTTGAAAAATTTGCTTCTTTTTAAATTTTAAGATTACTTAGGGAGGTAACCATTATTAATGTGTCATTTATATTTTTCATTTAAGGGCCACCAATTTATCTGTGAATGAAGCCTAGCAAGAATGTCTGTTAACATATGTATTTAAATTCAGTGATATTTTTGTAAGAACGAAATTAACCAAAATTGTACAAGTATCACCTACATACATTTAATAATACAATGATTTAAAAGACTGTGGACAATCAAACAAACATTGTTTTTCAGGGGAAATAAATATTAGTCAGAGAGGGATCCAATCTAGAACCCAGTACTGTTACCAATTGCATTTCCTTCCTATATTTGATTTGTGTAATCAATGAATAAAGGAGTAGAACACATGTTGACTAGCCGACTGATAACAGTTGAACTTTGAACTCTAGGTGGAAGACAAGTGTACCAAGCTAGAAGCAGAGCTAACTTCCCTTGACCAGAAGATGCAAGATGAGACCAACAAAATTCAATCCCGACTTCAGGAGGCTAGTCCTACCTACTGGGGAGCCATTGAACAACTGTTAGCCTTAGCACCATCCAGACTAGATGAAATTAAAAGTTACAGAATCCCTCCACCTGCTGTGGCTCGTGTGGTAGAAGCTTTGTGTTTACTCTTTGGCCGTCCTCAGAGGTGGTAGAGTTTTTAAATGTGATAGAAATATGTGATTATAAAGGGAAGATCTAACTGTACCATTTCTTATAATCAAGCAGTAAGATTTTCACAATAAGACGTAATGTTTGTGAGTTTTCAGAAAAAGTTAAAAACACAGAACTTCTAACAGAAAATTAGATAATTAATTTTCTTTATTAAATAATTGACAGTTCTTGATTTTTGTATTCACTGCAGTGTCCTATCCATTTCAATTAAAATTTAGCAAAAGCATATTTTAAGAGCTTTAAGTACCCGAGAGATTTCTGCAAACATAATTTTCTAGCACCCGGAGTGTGGCCTCCATATTTATCACGATGTAGCATTTATGGTGGTCCACTTTTAATCCTATTTTTCTTTTGAGAAATTTTTTTTAATGTTACAAAGCAGCATAAAAATTATTTATAAATCATGTTATTTAAATTATGCTTATTTCTTCATCCATGATAAATATCAAGAACTATAGTATGGCATGCAACTGGTAAGTGAGATAGAGATAAGGCTAGCTTGCCTAATCAGGTCATGTACAAATAATTTGCAGTGAGTTATGACTTACAGATTTGTGTGAGTTAAATGAAGAGAGAAAAACTATGTGATAGAAGCAAAATATTTATTATATCAGTTGGGCTCAATTTCATTTAAGCCACAATCAGTTGCAATCATTATGCTCATAGATATTACTTCAATTCAATACATGTATCTTTATCCATCCATTTAAATCAGTAATGTTTAAAACATTCATCTCTTTACTAGCTAGCTATTACTTTCTCCTTCTTTACTTTCACATGTAACAATTAAACACTTGCTGTCTATAAAGATGTTAAGAATACTTCATTGTCATTTTGATAGATGAAGAAAGTTGAGCTGCTTTTTCTCTAGTTGACTGTTTTAGTTATTCCTGTTGCTTCCTTGACTGAGTATGCTTGCTTGACACCATCTTATGTAGTATGTAGGTTACCATAGCAATAAGGCAATTTTCATTCATCATGCATACACTCTAATCCCCTTAAACCCATGCTGTTATGTACACCTTGTGAGCTCTTGGTTAAGCATGATTTCTTTCCCTAATTGTCTCCAGCAGGGATTAAGTTTTAATTTCATTCAGCTTTCTATGGTTCTATTTATCTCAATAGACATCCACACTCGTAGAGATTAATGAGGTAACTTAAGTTGTTAACCTTGTTTCATGCTCTTTATGGCTATTTGTCTGTAAAGTCCAGCCATGTTCTATTAAAGAAGTGATTTCACTTGGTAGTGACAATCAACACTTTTGTTTTGATAATGTTATTGCATATTGTGAGATAGCTTTGTTCTATGGAAACTCCATCCCATTTCTAATGAGCAACACAGCAACACATGAATAAACAAACAAGTTTTTATTCCATGTAAATAATAACTACCCTATTCATAGGCATAGTCAACTGGTTTGATTTCATTTGATCTAGTTAGTTAGAATGCATTCACTCTCTCATAAAATGCTCTTTCTTATGGAAAATTTAATGTTTATACATTTTTCTTACTTTACTATTCAAGCTGTGCTATTTATTCTTCTACTTAAATGTTTATTTATTAAGTTATTAGATTTTCCAATTCAATGCTCTACTTGTTTCAGGTATTTATTAATGATGGATTTTTGATTATTGGCAATATGATTTTCCTTTGTAGTTTCAGTTTTTTTGTTTACTCAGCTGAAAATATAAACTAACTTTCCTGAATACCAAGTTCTGTAACTTGGTTTAAATGTAATTATGTGATTGTCAGGGATAAAGTTTGGCACAGGCTCAATCAGACTTTACAAAAGAATACCTGTGATGTTGTTTAAAACTAGTGAGGTTGGTGCAAGAATTATTGATGTATGAAAATTTATTGAAGAAAGATATTTTATTTATTTTATAATTTTTTAGACATCCTACATAGGATCAGTGATTAGGATGTTATTACTTTATATTTAAAGCCGATTTGGCCAATACAAATTTGGTTTTAAGACAGTTTTATCATTTGAAATATAATAGTTTACCTGAAAGATCTCAATTCTATAAGTTGTGGTTTTTTGGGGGAAACTGAAGGTATTTTATTTCTAAGTAGTCAATTATAGCTGTTGTTTACAAGAAACAGTAGCACATTTTTTATCACATTTAAAAAATTTCTTATCCAGACACATTAATATTATCTTCTGAATAAAGGTAGGGAATTTTGAAATTGATAGATTTTCATTTAATTTTACTTGCAGAAAGTTTTGTATATAATACAACTACAGTCAAACATCTAATTTCTAAGTGTTTTATTTAGATTTTGTAATGTTGGGCTAGAGACTAAACTCCTATCATAATCATTATAAAAGATGCATTTTTCAACTTTATTTTAAAGACACACGAAGTACAAACAATGAAATGTTTTTAATATATCTTTTAGATGGGAAAGTGGAAGACACCTCTTAGTTTCAGACAATTTTACCTCCAAGCTTGAGTACTTTGATGTGGAATCAATATCTGAGAGTACCTTCAACCAGCTCAAAAATTACATCAGTGACCCCAATTTTACTCCCTCTGTAATAGCAGCTGCCAGTGAACCTGCTGCTTCTTTATGCACTTGGATTCATGCTGTTTACACTTACCTTACTGTAAAGGTATTTTCAAATACTAAATTGCTTTAAATTTTTAATTGTTTTTCTTATTTTATAAAAGCATCATTTATGTAAACTGATATCTATTTCATTGTGTTGTTGTATTTATATTATTTGTACCAGTTACCTACTTGTAGAAGTCAAATTTTTTATTGATCCAAGTTTAAAGTTACCTAATTGCATAGGTAAACACAACATTGCAATGTATTATCCTGAATCCATTATTATTGTTGTGTTTAGTTGCCTAACTACTAACCAGGCTACTGATCATGACTACAGTTGGTGTCTGTTCACCATGACCGTATAATAAATACTGAATCTGTGATAGTTAAACATAACTTGAAGTAAAAGTCAGACTTAAATTCATATTAATTTGGGTTCTTGTTGTTTACACCAGCTTATATAATTGTGAATCCATGATGTTTAAACGTAATTGAAAGTAAACATCAGATCAAAATTCGTAGTCTTGAGTACATATTGTTTAAACCTGTCTATAATCATGTATTCATGATGTTTAAATATAATTGGAAGTAAACATCAGATCACAGTTCATAAGCTTGAGTTCATTTTGTTTACATCTGCATATATATATCCATGATGTTTAAAAGACAAAGTTTATAGATGATGAGTATTTGAAAGTTATTGTTCAAATGCACAGTCTACATGGTGAACTAGCAGGTCACACATTTGAAAAATAACTCTCAACTATATTCATTATACATAAACTTTCTTAAAACTCTAAAAGCAAGAACTTCATTATATTCTTGAATGAGGTCTTGCAAACCAGTATAACTGCACTTCTTCATTTTATTCTTGCAGGCCACAGTTAAGCTGTATGTTCTACCATTTAACTAAGATTTTGTGACTAATTGTAAACTACCTTTAATATTTTCAATTATGCTATCAGTTTTAAATCAGTTCAAAATAGAAAGTACAAACTATAAGCTCATTTTCCATACGAAGATTCATATAACTTGTGTATTAAATGTAATTTAATTCTTTCTGATCAGCAAACTCTAAGACCCCTCTATACAAACAAAGCTAAGGTACAGAGGGATATAAATATTCTAAAAGAAGAACTAACCAAGGAGCGAGCTACTTGTGAGGCACTTGAAAATGAGCTGAACACTAAGAAACAAAATTTACAAACAGCAGAAGCTTCAAGAAATAAAGTTAGTGAACAGATAGCTACTCAGGAAAAGCACTTAGCCCTGATTTGTAAAGTAATCCAAGAGATGAACTGGGTTATTGGACAATGGGAACGTGCAGTCAGTCAAGGGAAACACTGGATTCACACAGCTCATGGTGATGCCCTGTTGACTGCCTCAGTGTTAACATACATGGGGTCACTTGGAGACAGCAAAAAGTCTGATCTCTATATACGCTGTAGATCAATTCTCGGCTGTACTGAACAAAGCATGACAGAAGACGTTCAACAACACTCAATGCAACAGATTTTAAAGTACCAGTTACCTTCTTATTATCCTATCACTTATGATGATCACACAGAATTGGTAGAAGAGGAAGAATGTGTTGTTACTAGAAGTGATTTCAGTCCTTACCTTTTCATCCTTCAAAGGAAAGTGCAGGGACTCCCAGCTGATCCACAAACCCTTGAAAAATTTGCAATTTTAAAAAAACATATAATTAGTAAATATTTTGCTTGTTTATTGATACATGATCCAGAAGATATAGCAGTGAAGTGGATTGAAATGATCCTGGAATATGATTTAAGCGATCAGAAGACATCTAATACCAAGCTGACTTCAGATGCTCCAAAAGTATTTGAATACAAAAAAAATAAAGAACCAGATAGCATACTTGTACTGTATGGTGAAGATTCTGAACTGGAATACAAGTTGAAATCAGCAGATTCTACAAACATTCCATTGATGGTAAAAGATTTTGATCTTTGTCCTGGATTGCCATCATGGTTATTAGCCAGAACTAAAGAATTCCAAAGCTCCTCTGAAAAGTTACCAGTGTTTCTTGTCTCAGGGCTTCCCCTCTATGAATTAGGTAAGTTATTTAGTCTGTTAGTTTCATGCAAACAGAACAAGAATGTAAAACATTTAGAAATGTTATAACTATTACATAAATTAATTTCACAAAACAAAAATCAGGTACCTAGCATAAAGTATACACATTTGGAAAGCTTGCTTTACACACTGCTACATAGTAAACAGTGCTTGTGATACTGTATAAATATCAATATATAATCTGTATACTTTGATGTATAAAAGGTATTCCTTTAGAATTATTTAGTACCTTCATCTGGTTATTGAATTCCTAAGTTATATAAACAAATTCTAAAAAAATGTAATTTATTGTTTTCAGCTTGTTATTTTATACCCAACACCGATGTGTAGTTCTAATACATTTAAGTTATTGTCTGGTTATTTTATAGCCATGATGTGCTTTTTAAAACTGTGTTTCATGCTCCATTGTTTCTCTGTTTTTATTCATCCACTCATATGTATTGTCATGATGATTAGAATGGATCAAGTCTTAAAGCAGGAAGGTTTAATTTAAGTCTCATGAACATTTAAATAATTTTTCACATTTATTAGGAACTCTTTCCCTCATTTATGACACATGTCTAATTAATATTAAATGAAATGATTCCTAAAATATGTGAAGCAGTTATAGAAGAGATCAAGTAAATGTTTATGATATCTCAAATGAGCAGTGTTCCTAACTTTGACTATGAGACCTATATAACCCAAAGAGCTGCATAATATTGTTTATAACTCTCACTGCTCTAACTGATCATATATTTTATATTAATGGTTTATTTTACATTGAAAACATTTTTGTATCCAGTTAAAAGGTCTTTTCTGTTGGAGAAAATGCCACTTCTTGACCTATCTTTGACACATGAAGGCTTAGTTGCGAGCATAACTCAAGAAATTGTGGCTCTTGAGAAACCAAGACTTTTATCTATGGAAAGGTAAACACATATTGCAAAGTTTTGTTATAACAAAGACATTTTATTGAGCTTTAACCTTCCATTGTACCATTCAATATGACACTTGGTAAAAAAATATATTTCTAAGTAAGACATAACTCAGAAATGTTTGTAAGAAACATGTGCAGTATAATGATTTGTTTTTCAGGTAATAAGTAATCTTCTGGAACATGCACATCCATAAATAAATCAAATAAGTTGCCAACTTAAATATTTTGAAGACTAGAGTAAGAATAAGAAAGACTATTACAAATGTATATCTTATTCTACTAAAAAGAAGTGAGAACAAAACAAGCTAGTTAGGTGATAGTTCTAAAGCTATTGTAAAAAGCATTGAATATCATAGATTGAAAGTATTTGTCTCATAACTGTACTGTGGGTAAAATAGTGGAATGGAAAAGATTATTCAGAAAGTTTCTATGTGAACAGAAATTCTGTTTGATGACTGATATATGAGTATCTTAATTCTGAAAACTTGTTGTATTGTGTGTGTGTGAAATATTTCAACATATCTGTTCAAGCAGTTAAACACAGATTATGATTAATTTTGGTGAGTAGTTTGTGGTATTGGTGTTCTTACCCACATTTTTAGTATATACAGGTACACATTTCATTGATCATTGCCCCAAGAAATGTATTATTCACAAAAAAAATATCGGGAAAAAATTTCAAATATTTAGTAATCAACTGTAATATTGTAGTGTTTCTAATCTAATAACCATGTAATTGTTTGTAACTTTAGAGCATTTTATCGTGATGACCTCTGCCACAGACAAAACTTAGAGATGCTTCAAACTCAGTTGTGGCAGGAGCTGATGGAAAAAGGCAAAAATTTAGTTGAGCTGGAAAGTGGCAAAACTATTGTAAGTAACAGTCGAGAAGCAGCAGAAAACTCCGCAAGACTGCTGGATGAAACAAGTGCATTGTTCCAGAAACTTGATCAGGATAAGGCACCTTTTGTGGCAGTTAGCAGTTGCATAGCTGTGATGTACAAAGTTTTAGAAGAGACTCCATTAACTAGAGGACTTCCATTTTCTAAGATAATTTCAGTGTTGCTGGAAAACAGCAAACAAAAGTTTGAAAATGGAAGTGAAGGTATGGTATTGATATGCCTTATAGCTACATAGTTTATAGGACACATTAGGAATTCCCTAAATAACTGAAGTAAAGTAAAGTTAACAAGTGTACAGATATATAATATTCAGAAAAAGTAGTCTAAATGAAGAGTTTGTTATGGTTTGATTACATTTATGAAACTCAAACGAAAGATAAAGTTTTAAGAATTTCTTATAAAAATACAATTCTCAAAGGATTTTATAAATAGTACCATGTAAAAATTTCATACAGTAGCGTGATATTAAGATAACTAGAATAAGAATATGGATTAGAAGTTTTTGTAGTTAATCAACCTTTAAAAAGTGATGTGAACTCAATGTTAAACTTTCTGCATTTTGAAAAAAATGAGAGAATTAGAGTGATGATACTTTGTAGAAATACCATTTAGTTAAGAATCTTTAAAGGACATGAGTGATTTGATATAGAAATTTCTACTTTTTGCAGAACAGAGTAATAACGTTTTTAAAAAATGTATAAATTCTTAGAAGTAATTCTCCAGCCACTTGATTGATACTGGGAGAAGTTACTTTTAATCTTAGTATCTTAACCCTTTGAGTGCATAACTAAATTTCAGGTGGGTTCTCAAAAAGTGTAAGTTATCCACTAACAAATGAAATGTAGAATTTGACTTTTTTTAGTATGTTTTCAATATCAAAATCCACTAGTTGCACTTTTACTCAGTGATCTAAGCACGAACAGTACTGAAGCAGGAAATTCAAGGACATGTGAGTATCCCAATTGTCACACTATGAGGGAAAGCTTGTGACACTGTGGGATAAATCCACTTGTCTCACCAAACGGCTGTAGATGTCTAGTTGGATAAACTTGTTTATAGTATCCAAAGAGTTAACATGAAGGCAGTATCCAGAATATGAAGTCACTGCTGTTAGGTTAAAGTCCTAGCTGTTTAACTCTTAAAACATTGTTTCTAGTTTAAATACCCCTGATAAATCTGGAAAGGCAACAAAATGTCCATCAAATGTGGCCACACCCACAATGTAGATAGATGATCTGACAAACAGCAAAAGCTTGTTCTAGTATAGAGATTTTGGTTTTAAATGGTAAAAAGTGGGTGTCATTGTGGTTTAAAAACAAAATCACTTTTTACTAAACAAAGGCTGTAAAATGTGTTTAAATGTTTTCTTTAACAGAAGTACAGGAATTATAAGTAACTTAGGAACATGAAGGATATGTAGAGTTTATTGGTACTATTAATTATATAAAGAGGAAGAATTTTAATCAATATAATAATTTAATGTTTTAATTTTTTTGACAAAACCCCCTGTTGTTCATCACTAAGTTTGAGGACGTATAACACTGAACTCTGGGATTCATTCATTGTGGTGGGCACTACATGCCTAGTGTGCAGTTTTGCTCTTAACAACATAAACAAAACAAAATAATTTTAAACAAAAAACCATTAAAATCACCAAATAACTTGTAAGCTTAAACTTTAGATCACAACATTACTAATATATTTTTACACTAATTTTTACAGATTTGTCAAAGTGTAAAGTAATCCTGTAAACACAGCTTTATAATATTAAACTCGGCTGTTTAGAAAAACCAATTTTAATACCTAAATCAAAAAAGATAAAAAGGATTTAGTTTTGTGTTCGTAAAAAAAGGAAAAATTAAAAGTTAAGTCTTGACAATTCAACTATGATGAAACATGGGATTTATATTTGCAAGCTACAAAGTAATGCTAGTGATCAAACAAATTCTACTAGCTATTGATTTGCCAATTTCTGTAATGATAACATTAAAATAAATCAGTCAACTTGTGGCTGATTTCAAGCTCATATCCATTCCAAACATCACAAATACAAACCATTAGGTAAAAAATTTAATTGAATATTGATGAATTTGAGATGTACAGTTAAGATAGATTTTGTTTGGCCATTAGTGTTTTCATATTCCTAAAAATTAAATCATGTTTTTTAGTTGGACAACTACTTTTTAAATTACTTTTTTATTTAGGGATTCAAAATGTTTATAGTGAAAAGAATTGTCGACTTCTAAACCTGTAAGAGTACAGGGAAGTTTTAAAATGTTTATTATTATTATTGTACAGCTATTGTTTATGGAAGGATTGTAAATTCTACTTAATAAAATTGCTTATTTGTGATTAAAAGTTCTAATGTTAGACACAATAGGTCTATTTGGACAGTTACTTTAAAGGGGGAAGTCATAAAAAAATACTACCCAGTGAATTTAGTGGTTATATATTATCATAAGCTCCATCACAAATAACTTTAGTACCTCTCTTAATATGTAACAAGTATTCTTCTAACATATATTCTCACTGTGAAGTATAACCATTATTAAAAATAGTTTGAAAGCTTAATTTCTCTAGTACTTTAAAAGTTTACAACTTGATGACTAATTTATTATGTTAGCATTGATATTGATTATCTGCACAGAACTATTTAAGTAATTGCTAGTTTAATCAGTAGAAAATAAAATAATTTAGTTAACTTAAGGAACCTTAATTATTCAACTTGTGGAACTTGCTACCAATAGTTTTATATTGTATTTGATGTTGATTTTCTGATAACTCAACAAAAACTGGCTTAAACAATCTTATGAAAATTTGTAATTTTTTTAGCAGTGATATGTTGACAATATTTTATAGCTTTTAAACATAAATTGTATTTGAAATCTTTAAATTGGCAGCAGTTGTTTATTAATATTTCTATTTTAAAATCTGCCTTTTCTGTTTTTAGGTTTAAACATTTTGGTTGTTTAAGAGCCTTATTTTTGCTATAAAAAAAACTATGTTCAAAGGGTTTTATTTTTAAATAAACTGTTGTGTTGCACAAAGTTTAGTTTAAGGAGAATGTTATTACTATATTGATAAACCAAACTCAAGTTAGTAGTTATTGGTTTAGATGATTTTGGTCAAGAAGCTGAAACATTAGTTTTTTTTTTGGAACTTTTTTTCTTATCACTAACAGCATTAAAAACTACCTGAATGAATATTACATCTCCCCTGTAATAAATCTAGATTTTCTTAAATTAGCTATTGTCCTTGCACTTTTTTTTTCATCTGAGTTGAAAGCCTTCAATTAGAGAAGTAGCCTAATCACAGTATTAGAAATAACTATAGAAAAAGTGAAAAAAATTTATATAAAATGCAAATATTATGGGATTGCTGCCCTTTTATTGTATGAAAATTAATTGAACCAGAGTACAGTCACACATTGATAGTTTAAGTGAGATTCATTATGTCAACTATTCAGACAGTACTTCACCAGTATAATGCCAATAAAAGTGGAGGTAATCATACTATTCCCAGCTGTAGTGTGGTGAATGCATTTGTGGCTTCCTGGACAGAAATTACAAATGACAAATGTGTAGAAATGAAGTTGTGGCAGATGAAGGTTACTACATGTGACAGAATGAGATAAATTTCACATTTTGATAGGAGCTGAATGGAAACCATGAAGAGGGTATGTGAAATAGTATTGTTGATAATAGAAGCTTTCAAGTTAGAAAGCCCAAACCCTTCAAAAGTGATGTTAAATAGATCAGGGTATGATCTCTATATGTCCATACTGGAAATTCCAGTAAAGTTTTGTCGGTTACCTATTTGTAAGTACAGGTGAGAATTTTACCTCCAGAACAGTAAAATATACATTAGCATGAAGTTGTCTCAATCACTGTATAGGTATTGAAAAACCAACGTTTAGGAGAGATAATAAAATCAAAAGGTTAAAAAAGAACATCAGACTTTAATCACAGGGATGAAAATAGCTGGAGAAGGATGTTCTTTACACATGAATCCAAACTTAAATTGTTTGGCAACAGTGAATGATAGTTTGGTTGATGACATAGATAAAAACAGTATCAAAGTCACTGCACAATATTTACAATGAAGCATACTGAGGACCATTACAAGTGTAGACTGCATCTCAAGCAGTCATGTTATACATCTATACTAAAGTGATGGCTTTATGACTGCTGACTGTTCAAACATATTATTATCCATTATGTCATTCCTTCAGTGAAATGATTTGTCAGGGTTCATCTTTGGCTTGGCATGCACAAATTCTTGAAAAGAGTATTATTAAGGCTTATGGGTTTATAAGGAAACTGAGAAGGTCAAATGGCAATCAAACAATGTGGTTGAATCATGGGATTGCTTATACAGAACGTTTGGAACAATATTTCACAATCATAAATTGACAATTATTGCAGCATAAAAACAAGACAAACTACTCTGTTTAAAGCAAATAGAAATAGTAGTTCATTGTGTTTGCCTACCCTTAAGAAAAGTAAAAACTTACTCCCCCTCCCCCCACTTATATTTCAGTAAATTATAGATTCTGCTCTTAGAACTCCAGTAAAGTGATGGCTTTCACTACTTCTGACAGGAACTCATTCCATAAGTCAATCACTACAAGGAAAAATTAAAACTTTCTTCACTGGAGCCTAGCCTATTTTTCCCAATTTTAAGACTTCTGTACTTTCATCCTATTACCTTCAGAATTGACCATTTAGTTGGAATTACTTGTTTGTGGCTGATATATGTATATTCCCCGTGAGTTTTCACAATGATTTCCAATAGTATCTTACAGTCTGTATTTCCATCAGTATCATTGTGTTTTGTTTTCTTCTCACATTAAGGTTATGGTAGTGTAATAGTGTATTTTAGCTAAATATATTATGTTATTTTAGTTTGTTTCTTATACAGAATTAGTACTGTGCTCATTTGTTCTTTAATGATTTGTCTGTTTAATCTGTGGGCATAGTTACAGTGGATTAACAGTTCTTTACCTTTCCACATATACAAACACACATGCACACGTTAAGGAGAATCCACAACTAAATGTAGGAAATTCATCTCATATTTTTCAACAATTGGAACTGTGATTGTGAACTTACCACCAGCAAATGTTAAAGATTTTAGTACCAACCAGTAAAGTGAACCATTAGCCTTACAACTAGAATGAAGATACTATGTAGAAATTTTGTAACTTTATTTATATATTTATGCCTCTGTCTTTTATTCAAATAATGTGGCCAGCTAAAAAATATAAACATTAACTCATTATAACAAGTTTTGAATAAATATTGAAATATTGATATATTCTGTAAAAGTCAGCTGGTGAATCTGATCATATATTATCATTATTTGCCACAAATAAGCATATATATTGTAGTATACAGTTTAAACTGTTACCTTAAATGTTGTTGCACATCAGTAAGAAAAATTTTATTTACAAAAGGTGTTGGATCTTCTCATAGTATCATGATTGAAAAATTACATTTCTTTTTTGTTTGTCATCACTTGACCAGTTAATGATATTAGCCGAAGCCAGATGCTGAAAGACAACTTCCTTCAATCCTTCTTGAGTTATCTAGCATCCTTTTTGCCCAGTTCTCAGTTGGAAAATTATCTGTACCAAGTTGCCATTGAACTAGCAAGAAGAAAGGGAACACTGAATGAGTCAGAGATAAGATTTCTTGAGAATGGAGTATTCGAAAATACAAAAATAAGTTGTGGAGTCGGACCCGATTGGATATCCTCTCAGGTGAAATATTTTCTTTTCATCTTTAGTCATAGTTGTAAAATTGCATTTTTTGTATCCATCTTAAGAAGATTAATAATTGTATTGCTTTTCTGTATGTCTCAGAAATCTATAATTAAAAGAATGGCAGTGTGTTTCAATGAAGTGGTTAAAACATTGTATTTAAGAAAGAAATTAAATCTGATGAGAGTGTGTTTTTTCTACTTTTTTTTGGGATTAGTTACAGTCTTAAAGCTAAAGGATTTTGGTCTACTTTAGTAAATGCTTTCTTCTAAAGTTATATATTCAATAGCTGTGGAAAAGTCTGTGTTTCCTGGAAAGAACCATAGATGTCTTCGAAGGACTACAAGCATCATTTACTTCACATTCACAGTTATGGTTAGAATACATGGAAAGCCCATTTTCTCTTTTTTTACCAGTACCTTCTCTTGACAATAACAGAGAACTAACACCCTTTCATCATTGTATCATAAGATTGGCCCTAAACCCCCAGGAGGTGAGGTGACATTCTTCTTATTTAAACATAAAATAATTATTATGATAATTAAGGACACTCTAAAATCTCCCTTGTTATTTTGAAAACATTAGAACAGTTAGTAAGGAAGTTTAGTTTTATTAGTCTTCATTAGGAACAGCTGGAGAATTTGGTGAATAATAAAAATAACTGTTGTATGTTATTTTCCACTATGATGCAAGTAAATTTTCGTGAGCTTATTTTGTAATTATTCATGTTTAGTTTTAAGTCAGTTTTCAGTGAATATATTGTGTTAGTAAGTATTCCTGTTTAGTGTCAAGTCTGTTTTCAGTGAGTACATTGTGTAAGTTTCCTGTTTAGTTTCAAGTCAGTTTTCAGTGAGTACATTGTGTAAGTTTCCTATTTAGTTTCAAGTCATTTTGCTATGAATACATTATATAAGTATTTCTGTTTAGTTTCAAGTCAGTTTTCAGTGAGTATATTGTGTAAGTATTCCAGTTTAGTTTCAAGTCAGTTTTCAGTGAGTACATTGTGTAAGTTTTTCTGTTTAGTTTCAAGTCAGTTTTCAGTGAATATATTATATAAGTATTTCTATTTAGTTTCAAGTCAGTTTTCAGTGAATATATTATATAAGTATTTCTGTTTAGTTTCAAGTCAGTTTTCAGTGAATATATTATATAAGTATTTCTGTTTAGTTTCAAGTCAGTTTTCAGTGAATATATTATATAAGTATTTCTGTTTAGTTTCAAGTCAGTTTTCAGTGAGTATATTGTGTAAGTATTCCTGTTTAGCTTCAAGTCAGTTTTCAATGAATATATTGTGTAAGTATTTCTGTTTAGTTTCAAGTCAGTTTTCATTGAATATATTGGGTAAGTATTCCTGTTTAGTTTCAAGCCAGTTTTCAGTGAATATATTGAGCAAGTAGTCTTGTTTAGTTGGTGAATATATATATAAATAAGACCTATTTGTTATCATAATCCAGTATGTTAATGTTTTTTTTTCATATATATAACATTTGATTCAATATTGAATATATTTTATTTATCAGCCACATATTAAAATGCCTAAGAAAGGAAAATGCCATTTTAACATTAAAAATGACTTTTTATTTTATTTTATTTAAAACTTAATTAACTGAAAACTAATTACAGAATCTGAATAAGAAATTTATGTAATGATATGATCAGTGTTTGTTTGCGGATCATTTAAAAAGCTACTTATACACTCAAAATAAATAAAGAATACTCTTTTGTGCTTGTTTATAGTATGGGTTAATTAACCTTTTTTTTTGCTCTACTGGTTCAGAGTCATGTTGTTAAATGGCAGTTGATTCGGTACACTCTTGGACCACTAATGATGCAGTTTGAGAATACCCCCTCGCAAGAGAAACTACAACTGATAATAGCTTCAGCCTATAGCAACTCAACAAAGTCAACTCCCTTCATGTGCTTCACTGACCAACAGTTTGTAATTGCATTCCCAGAAGCCACTGACAGTTTTGATTCTACACATCCAGCTTACCCCATTTTCACACTTGCTGCTCAGTTAAATATGAAGCATAAGGTCAGAGTATATGTCTGTGATAACACAGAAACAGCCAGCAAAACTCTAGTCAGCGTCCTTTTGCATTCCATTCAACAGGGTGAGTGGCTAGTCGTTCTTTGGCCAGAATCTGGATTTATGTGGACTCCAAAACTAGTTTGGACTCTTAGAAACATCCTGGATGATAAAGCACCTAGGTGTCATAGTGATTTCAGACTCTGGATAGTCTTGAACATTACAAACTGTTGCTATTTGCCAAGTGAGTATTGTCGATTATCATTATTATTATAATTCTTGTATATTGATTTTGAATTGTTTTTCAGACATAAATGATTTGCTTTTGGTTGTAGGTGATGAATTATATTCAAAAGAACCAACAGAACTATACTTTTATCTTCTATTACAGATTAGTTCCTGTTTTTAAGCAAAATATAAAGGATAATATTTTAAATGTTTTGCAATAAACATCAGTTTTTATAATACAAATCAACAATGTTATCAGATGATAAAATTTCTGTTGGAATTTATCATTCAGTCTTCTGAGCAGTATCACTCACCAATACTTTACATGAATACATAAAATATAATGAGTTTATAAAAAAAATATATATATATATATAAATTTAAAATTATCATATCCTAAAAATGTTTACTTCTTGGAGAAATACATTTACCAAACATAAATGGAGAATCATTATTTTTATTCAGAAAAGTTTGGTCGTATTACAGGATCTCTCAATCAGCATATCAAGCTTATTCCTAAATTTACCTACTTGTAGTCATCACCTGTTGTAGGACACTATTCATTGATCTTTAAAGTATCCTAGCTACTAATGTATTTCATGTATTCTTACAAGAGAGCAAGTAAGAGCAATTATTCTTTGAAAGAAAAGTGATATAGTTTTATAAGATTTTAAAACACCTGTACTATGTCCAAAATTTCCTGAAGAAGAAAACTTTTAACTCTCAATGTGCATCTGCTGAAATTTTGTTCTCCTTGTATTTTGATATGGGAATCTTATATCAAAGCATAGAAAATACATATATGGTATAGTTTCTCTGTAGTCCAAATGAGCTCCATGCTTTCTAATATCTTTTAATACAAATTTGCCAAAACGTACTTAGGACACTAAAATTTGGGTTTCGATACTCAAGGTGGGCAGATCACAGATGCCCATTCTGTAGCTTTGTGTTTAATTACAAACAAAGCCATAACATATGTCTATTTTTAAAAGATCTGTTCTTGTTCATAAATCTAAATTTATAAAAATGTAATGTATTTTATGCTGTGCTGTATGTTCTAATACATTGATTTATTTGTTAATTTAATTTTTCTTTTCATCATCTCATTCCTAAAAGTTTCTGTCAAGGTTATTACAATAAAGAAGGGGCTTGAAGTCCATTTCACACACACACACATGTTTAAAGTAACTTGTAAGTTTTTAGATTTTATATTGTAATGTTCATTATTTCAAATATGTCAGGTTTTTACATATGTGTGGATGGGCAGAAGTCTTTACAGTAGATGTCTGTGACTTGTTGGCAATAAATTTCAACAATAAATAAACAGTACACAATCCACTTCTTTTAAAATATTATATTAAAACAATTCAAATGTATATACAAAATGTTCATTGCATAGTTAATCACCACAGTTGTATTCAGAGCTTTAAATAATTGTCTTTTTTCCTCAAAAGTCCACACAGGTTTGTTCAATTACTTTAGAACACCACTGCCAACACAAATTCTTCTTCTCTACTCTGTTGTTACGTTACAATCTGCGATAATTTCACTATAGAATCGCCACTATACGCTCATATGGCTAAACTTACAAACATGCCTTCTAGATCTATCTATCTATTTAATGTTGTCTTATTTCCCTTACTTTCACTTTTTCTAACAAACTTGATCTCCTAAATATATATATATTGCCCGAATGAGGCCTAGAACTTTCTACAAACAGAAATACATTATGATTTAACAATACTCAATGAAACAATGAGGAAAACATAGGAGGTTCTAGTAACAAGATGCAACACTATAACAATCACCAACTAGTGAAATACACAATATATGATTTGTACACAGTTATATAAACAAACCTGCAATGAATTATCACTTCTAAAAACACTATAGTTAACTCTTACATTTTATAACTACCTAAATCATAACTCTTGTATCAAACAGTCATATATATATCTAACAATAAGCCCCTCTTCAAGAAAAATATTTACAATATTTTTCACACTCTATACAAAGACTGCTTTCAGTTCATATGCAAAGTCTCCTCATATAATCTGCACCAAAATTTGCAATTCCCTTTTTGGTCTCTCATCACATGGGACATCTAGTAGGGCTTCACCTTGACTGGATCACTGGTTATGGTCTCGATCTTGTGTTGCACAAGGTCTTTCTTGTATGGTATATCTGTGAAGACATCTGCATACTGGCACCTACTCTTGTAGGTCTTTCTTCTGCTTGCCAGTCAGTTCTTCACTTATGTTGATGCCCTTGTATGTATCATCTCTTCTGGTTCTGAATCTATAATGGCCACACCTGCAATGTTTGTCTGTGACTCAATAGCAGCACCTGTTAGGTCTTCTTTCCACTCATAGTACCTCTTCAACAGATTGGCATGATAGATCTTGGTCTTCCCTTCCACTTTCACCATGTAGTTCATTCTGTTGACCACTTCTTGTACTTCAAAAGGTACTTTCCATTGTAGGGTGAGTTTATTGTTGTCTTTTGGCACAGAACCAAGACCTTCTGTTTGACCTTGAAATGTCAATCCTTGGACTTCTTGTCATAGAAGTGCTTCTGACTGCCTTGAGCTGCATACAAACTTTTTCAAGCAAGTTGACAAGTGTCCTCCAGTCACTTTCTGAGGTCTAACACATACTAGTATGTTTTCTTCACTTCTGACTTTTCTTTTCATGTCCACAGTTCTTTCAATATCTGTATTGGACCTCATACTGTTCTTCTGTATAGTAACTCAAATAGTGAAGATCTTGTATTTGCTTGTGGGACTACTTGGTAAGCAAATAATACTGCTTGCAGGTACCTGTCACAGTCACATGGTCTCTCTTGGTATATCTTCTTTAGCCTGCTCTTTAAAACTTCATTAACTCTCTCACAAAATCCATTACATCTAGGATTGTATGAGTTGGTAAAGAGTTGCCTAGTACTGATGAGTCTGCACACCTCTTGAATCAGTTCAGGCGAACTGGGTCCCTCTGTCACTCAAGACTTCTTTTGAGAAGGCTACTCTGCAGAACACTTCCATAAGGGCTTTTACTCGCTCTGTCTCTATCTTTGCCAGTGTTATGGTTTCAGGATAATGTGTTGCAAAGTCAACTATTGTCAGCACGTACCAGTTGCCCTTGTCAGAAACAGGTGTTAGTGGTCCAATCTGCTGAATGCTCTTCTATGAGAGGCATATCACCCAGTGGCACCTTGGCTATTTTCCTTATAGGTATTGTCCTTTGGCAGATGTTACATGACCTGCAGAATCTAGTTACATCTCCAATGATTCCTGGCCAATGGCAATTGCTGGTGATTCTGTCTGCCATCTTCTTTGCTTTTAGTTGTCGTCCCACAATCGACTCGTGAGCCATCTTCATCACTTCAGTCTGGTATTCTGTTGGTACTATGATCTGTTTAACTTCCCCAGTAGAACTGCCTTGATAGATCTGGTACAAAACACTTTAAAATGTATGCTTATTACACTAAATTAAACACTACTATATACAAGCATAAAAACCTAAAAACCTATAGTGCATAAAAACCTAAAACTTGCAACAACTTTAGTTTCAGTTAGCACAAAAATGAGCGAGTCAACTGAATATTCAATTAGTGCATTAATTATTGAAACATGTATATAATCACCATGACTTTTAATGTCTGACAAGTTTTGATGGAAGGTAGAAAGTAATACTTTTTTTTATGCTAATAACTTTTAAGACACTGTATTTTGGTTTCCAGGGATTATAATTGAAAAAAGCATCAAGTTCAAATTGATATGATTCCCTACACCAAGTTGAAAGATGTCTGCTTTCCAAGTAAGAATAATGGAATATCACACTACATATTGAAAAGAAAAGTCCACATGGCAAGTAAAAAATAAAATAATGTTTTACTACAAGTTAAAAAGTACATTTAGACAGTGTTTGTAATATATTAAATGATGGAATCAAATATCTTTTATGAAAAAGGGAGAAATATGTGTGTTATGTTTTGAATAGAAAGACAATGCATTTTGGTCTCCTTGTCTTTGTGTTATGTTGTAACACTACCTCAACAATATGGCAGATTCTATGACAGTATTTTTTTACATGAGCTTCCTTTTTGTTGCTTTGATCTGATGGGTGTACTAACTAAAGATGCTGTTTAAGCATAAAATTTTTAAAGTGTATTTAGATAAGTATTAAAGCTAATTTATAAATATCACTGATTGGAAACTGTTTCTGAAATATTTTAAGAGAGAAAAATTTTAAAACTTTTGTAAATGGATAGTTGTTATAATGGCAAGGAACATAATGATTTGTAAGGTTGCATATGGTGATAATACTAGTGAACTTTAAGAAAAAATGTCTTTTGTAAAATTGTGATAGTTTCTAGAATTGCTTTATAATTTAAAGTTGGTTGATGAAAGCATAGCAGAGTAAATTATCTTTAGAGCTGATAGAGATTAAAAACTTTATGTAGATAACTTGAAATTTTTTAGACTTATAGTTCTATTAGCATTGTTAGTATGAAAACATTTAATGGGAATTTAAAAAATAAAAGTAGGTCAACAATTAATGTGACCTCGTTCAGTTTTTAACTTTTTTTATATTAATTATACTAATCTTAACAACAAGTATTAAATAATCAGTATTAATATGAGATCCCTACTACTATAACAAGCAACTTATGCAATATTTCATTACCTTTCCTACTTATGTATTATGTTTTGTTAATTAATTTGTTGTTATAATGGTTTTGTAATGAATGAGATTATTCATTTAGTGGAAATAACATGCCATTCAACCAGTAGCTTCTCTGCAAGTCCTGTGATTGGTTAAAACAAGTAATTTTGTAGTTCCCCAATCTTTTCATATGAGGTGTTTACTTTATAAAAGTTCATGAGAAATTTCTAGAAAAACATGAAAGCGTAACATACACATTTGCAAGCTTTGTATCTGTGTTAGTGAGTGAATAGATAATCACATCTTGCAAACCATGAACTGTTGTAAAGCCTTTACCCACTTACAAAATCATGACCAAATCAAAACCCCTTGCATTTTTTCCTTAAGTAACAAAAATATTTTATAACCTATTAGAGAACTGTCTTAGTAAAAGTACTTAACCTTTTAATCTTTTATGACAAACTTGAACCAATTTTAGTTATTACTGAAACTTAAACAAGAGCATGAATCTATTATTGTTGTTTTATTGTATTTCTAAGCTTTTGGGTGAAAGTTATACCAGTATTCAAATAAATCTCAACAACTTCAGTTAATCATATTAAATGTGGCCACATTAAGTACTGAGTTTTGCTTTTATGTATTGGTGAATGAGACCAGATTGTTCAATGAG